GAGCTGTTTCCTTCTCAGTATATTTGTTAGTGGCATGAAGGAAAGCAATTTTTAAATATTAATTTTGTATCTTGTGGCCTTTGCTCAGTGTTTATCAGCTCTAAGAGTTTCCAGGTGGAGTCGTAGGAGATTCTTATCTGCAGCCCCACACACAAAGCACAGAAGAGGGAACCCAAACCAGCAAGGCTGAAGAGCGCATGCCAGTGAGAAATGTGACGAAGGCATAAAAATTAATGAAACCATTCTCCACATATTCTAGAGACTTCAGTTCTCCATCTTCCTTCCTTGTGTAAATCACACTTTATCTTTAAAATAAATCCTCTGAACATCAGCCAAATCTTGCATTATAGTTATGGGCTTTTTGTTTTCCGTGCACATAAAGAAAAGCTGTTCGTTTTAACAGTATCACTTGAGAACCACTAACAGCTTAGATGCATAGTACAGAAAAATATATACATGCCCGTTCATCATTGTTCTTTGCTTCAGAGTTAGCATTTCTGAAATAAGGACATCTAGCTTAGGTATATATTGTATTGTGTTCTTCAAAGTTGCTAAAAATAGTGCTCTGCCACAAAGAGTATATGTGAGGTGACAGGTGTGCTAAGTTGATTGTAATAATCATCTTTACATGTAAATCATATATCAAATTTCACACTGTACACTGTCTTTAATATACAGAATTTCTGCCAAATACACTCAATAAACTTAGCATGAAAGAAGAACTGCCAGTCAGGGGAAATGCCAACCCTCCTCCAGTGAGCATAAGCAATATTAGCTCATCGAAAATCCTGATGTGAATTGGTCTCTTTAATAAATTCTAAAGATCAACTGGGAGGGAAATGTGTAAGACTATCCCTACAACATTCTTAAGAAAGAAGTAACTTGGCAGAGACAGCCTACGATGCATTAAAATGGACAACAATCAATAAATACATCGATGGACAGAAAGGAGTCCAAAATAAAAGCAAGTAGCAAGTGTGGCTGCCTCTGCAAGACCTGTGTTAAGATCAAGACAACATCATCGCATCAGAAAGAGGCTCCTAGGGCCTAACCCCCAGGAAGACCTATTGGCAGTTGGCTGCTGGGGGAAGAAAAATCAGTTTCCTTCAGGGTGCAGTTCCTGTACTTATCCATGATCCAGTGGGTGGCCCTAAACCCATGTGCATGTATATGGGCAGTTCTAATTGGACTCAGCAGGTTATAAAGAAAAAAAAAGGGCATGAAGTTGTGAGAGGGACATGGGGAGATCTGGGAGAAGCTGGTTGGGAGGTGAATGAGATAAAAATATATTTATACATGTAGGATGTTCTCAAAGAACAGATAAATAAAAAAATCTTAAAATCTAACTCCTTTCTCATTAGTAAAGTTAAAGACAAATGACTATAAATATGTACAAAATATAAGGATACTATATGAGCTTTTATAAAAACAGCCCTATATAACAGCCATATACAAAAATCCAATAAAAAATAGACCAGACATGAGTATAAAAGTTGAAAGTAAATAGATACCAGAAGAAAACATAGAAACACTTCAGAACACAGTTGTGAGTAAAGATAATTGGGGGTAAGATTAAAAAGTGCTGGCAACAAAAGCAAAAACCAGTCCAAAGGGTAACAGTCAAGAAAGAACAGGATGATGGCAGCCCACAGACTGTCCAAAACTCAAGCAACTCAATAGCAAAATAACAACAATGATCAGATTAAAAGATGACATGGACAGACAAAATGTCCAATAAATGTATGAAGAACTGCTCAACAGCACTAACTGTCAGAACCACGACAAGATGAGTCATGAAACAGCAACGGCAAGAAGGAAAGACCAGCAAGCATGTGGAGAACACTCTTGGTGCAAATATAAACCAGTACAAACTAGTCTAGCTATCAGAGAAAACAGCACAGAATTCTTTGCAACTCTAGAAACGGGATTGATAAAAGTCTGCACTCCCATTACAGGATACAGAACAAAGGAAATTAGGGTGTTGAAAAAATACACTCTTGGTTAGAATAGCCAAGATATAGAATTAAGCCTGGAGATCTATTGATAGGTCAGTGAAGAAAATGTAATGTGCATATACATAATAGAATATTATTTGGCCATTAAAAATAAATTTCTCTCATTTACAACACGATGAAACAGATTAAACAAATTAAATCAGATCCATAAGTACCATATGTTGTCACTCATGTGGAAGCTAAACCGTTTAAGTAGTCATAGAGGTTCATGTCTATAATCTCAGCACCATGGGGTGTGAGGGCTGAGGCAGATCTTGAGTTTAAAGCCAGCCTGGGAGCACTCCAAGCCAGCCTGGGCCAAACAGCTAGACCCTGTCTCAAAACAAATAAACAACATTTATTTCACAAAAACAGAGAGACTAGAAGAGTGATTGGCAGAGGACAGTAAAGGTGTAAGGACAGTGGCGGGGGCTTGGAGAGAGGCTGGGGGGTGACAATGGTGACGGTTAAGGAGAAAGGACAGTTAGTGGTACAGAGGAGGTGTGACGGAATGGACAGGAAGAGTGAATAATTTCTACTGCACAGCACAGTAACTACAGGCGACATTACTAGTTGTATGTTTCCAATGTTGCTAGTAGAATGGATTTTACCTGTTCCCAACAGGAAGAAATGATAAATGTTTTGAGGTGATGGGTATGCCAGTCACCCAAGTCTGATCATGACACATTCATACGTGTACTGAAATACCATGCTGCAATTTACAATATGCATCCCTCAGTGTCAGTAAAATATTAAGACTATGATGACAACACCTTTACCTGCTGAGCCTTCTCACTGTCCCAGAATTATTGATTTTAAGTTAAAGAACAATTAAAAAAAAAAGCATTGTGGGCCGGGCGGTGGTGGCGCACACCTTTAATCCCAGCACTAGGGAGGCAGAGGCAGGCGGATCTCTGTGAGTTCGAGGACGGGCTGGACCGACAGCTCCAAAACAATACAGAGAAACCCTGTCTCTTAAAACCAAAACAAAACAAAACAAAACAAAACAAAAAAAAGCATTGTGGATTATAAGAATTATTGTCATTGGAGCTTACTGGGACTACTGTTAAACTCATTAGAAGAAGCCAAGAGTGGAAGCAGGAAGGGAATCTGTTAGCAGATGGGCACCATGGCCGGGGCTGAGAGGCGGTGGCCTGGACCAGGGCGGCGGCAGTGGGACACAGACGCGCTTCTCTGCTCTACCTTCCCTGTTTCTCACTCCAGGCCTGATGTCCTTCACAGCCACCTGCAACACCAGCGTCACCACCCAGTTTCCAATTCCTCCAACACCTACAGTCATTCTTCTGGCCACCGTGACACTCAAACGGTGCCATGGTCCCAGCCACCCCCACCCTCCCCAGACCACTGAGTGTTTTCTGGGTCCTACCTGGCCTCTGCTGACTAACCTTCACCTGCATCAAATCCTCTCCCCTCAGCTTCTGAAAGATCCCCATCACCTGGCGTTCCTCTCTCTACTACTCCCTTTCCATCTCCTCAGGAACCCTCCTCTCCATCAGTCAGCTGTTCCCCGTTCTTTGCACACCAAAGATGCCTGTCAGACCTGCTTCCTCGCCCCAAGCTGGCTTCTACTTCACGGGGAGGCTGGAGAGACGGCTCAGGAGTTAAAGGCACTTGCTGCCCTCTCCACCAGAGAATCTGAGTTTGATTCCCAGCACCCACTTCAGGCTGTTCACAAGCACAGGTAACCCCAGCTCCAGGGGACCTGACACCATCAGCTGGCCTGTCCGGGCACCATCACTCACGTGCAGACAGACATACAGGCAGATGTTACCAGTGACTCACAGGTCTCAGGACAGAAACTACCAGCCTTCAGTGGCACGTAGCACCACCAGTGGCTGGTACTGGATATTCATTCCTAATTTCGTATTTTTCAAACATTTATTTTTCAGGCAGACCCAAGCTGGCCTTGAATTGAGGCCAATCTCCCTAGTGCCCTGTGATTGCTTCTAATTTTTGAAAGGGAAGAGTTTTGGTCTGGTTTGGCTTTTGTTGTTGTTACTGGGTCTTTCTTTTATTACTACCCTGCTATAGCAGAGAGTAACAACACTATGCTACAAAGCAAAATGTCTTCATTTCAAAACTAAGAAAGCAGCACACGACACACTCTCTCAAAAGGAGAAAGGAAGGAGCACTTAACAAATCCTAAGGAAATACACAGCATCTAATAACCCAGCCCCAGGTTTTATAGCGCTGAAGAAGGGTTTGATGGTAATAGCAGGCGGAAGGCTTCTCTCCTCAATAAACGCCAATTAGCTCTTCTTGGCCATGTCGCTGTAATTTTAGCTCCCATCGCGGACTCTCCTTCACTTCCTGCGTGGCTACTTTTCTGATTTGGGAGTTTACTCGCCCCCTCCAAAGCCCCCCTCGCTCGCCAATCAGCCATTTATTCGTCAACCTGAATGACGGAAAGGAGACGGGAGCACAGAGAGGGTGGGGAAGCCAAACACTTGTGGGAGGGTGGAGCAAAGGCCACCGTCCCAGGGACGGAGAAGGGTGGAAGCTGGGGACGAGCCCGGGAAGAAGGCATGGAGCAGGACCTGGGAAGGAGGGGGTGGGGAGCGGTGACAGACAGGCGACAGGACGCTGGACCAGACGCAGAAGGCTGAGGCGAGCCGCGGAGCGCAGGGAGGCTCTCAGCCGCGTCCCGCTCGCCGGACACTTACTCGGGTCCCTCCTCAGGGCGCCGGGGGTCTCCTCCCGCAGCTGAGGGAACAGGAAGTCGCGAGCCGACTGCAGGTCCTGGAAGGAGCAGAACTGGACGATGGAGCAGGCCATGGCCGCAGGGACCCCGCTCGCGGGGTGTCGTCCCCTAGCCACACCAGGCCCGGCCCACTCTACCCGGCGCCTGACAGCCCGGAGCCCCGAAAGCTTCTGCCACCCGGGGGAGGCGGGGACGCCAGACCGGAAGCTGTCAGCGCGCCCCGAGAGGTGGTCCCGGGAGCTGCGCATGCGCGAGGCGCCCCGGAGCTGCGCATGCGTGGGGCGCCCCGGCTCGGAGGGAAGGCGCCGCTCCGGAGCTGCGCATGAGCGGGGCGGCACGGAGGGAAGGCGCCGCGCCGGGCACGTGACTCGGTGCGGCCGAGAGTCCGACGTGGCGGCCGGCGCCGTTCTTGGGTCCCCCGCCTTGCGCGAGCCTGTCAGTCTGGCCGTCCTCCAGGGGTGACCTAATCGGACTCGGCGTGGGCCTTTGAGTCGCCCCAGCGAACTTGTCGTGCTCCTGCGGACAGGCCCAGACAGTTCACGGATAGGGCGGCTCCAGCCGAGCTTTCGCAGGTACCCGAGAAAATGGAGGTGTCTTGAGGATTTCGGATTTTTCTTTTAATATGGAAGGCTGTTCTCAGCGTGCAGGATACACTTCCACCCCCACCCCATCCCACCCCTCTAAAAAAGAGGGGGGAGTCCGCCTTGGACATGCCTGCAACCCTTCCTGTGCCCAGGCGTTGAGGCAGGTGGATTTCTGGGTGTTCAAGCTACTAACTGGGGGGCGGTGTAAGACGGTGTCTCAGATAACAAGGCTTTGGAAAGAAAACAGCAGCTCCATGATCCCCCCCCCCCCCAGGAGGGCCTCACCCTCCCCGGGGAATGATGTGGGGATTGGGTGGGGTGCCGGTAGAGGGACAAGGGAGGAGGGGTGGGAGAGGGAGCTGGGTCTGACAGGTGAAGCATTCATGTTTCTAATTTAAATAAAAACATACATTGAGAGAAATAAAAGAAAGCAGCTCCGTAAAGGCGCGTATTAAATACTCCCGTAGACTGCCAAGGTACCCTGAAAGCCTAATGTGTGAGCTGTGCTGTATTAGGTCCCGTGTTCCAATCATTTTTCATTCATTCATTCAATCACTCAACAAATAGTGTTTTTCTTTGTCAGCTACACTCTAGGCGCTGAGCTTCAGAAAACGAACGAGCGAACAAAAAGACATGCTCCCACGGAACTAAGAAGCTAGTGATGGACACAGACCAAGAGAAGCAAAATTGAGAGAATGCTGGGCGGGAAAGAAGTAGAAAACCACAGAACATAACGGGACAGGGACTGGCCTGGTGACTTTTCCTTCCTTTGGTTTTGGAATAGGAAAGCGCCACCCTCATAGACTCCTGGAGGACTGGGGATCCGTTTAACCCTTTATATACCAGGTCTCTAGCCGTTATCCGCCACGGAGTTGACTCCTTAGTACATACTTGCTAAAATGAGTCTGCATAAATTAAACAGGCCAACCTGATTCTTTCACGTGGATTTGAAAGTACTTTCCACTGTGTTACCTAACTGGACCACCACAAATGCCATCTTCGAAGAGCCTTGTTTCTTTGTTTGAGATACATTCTAGCTATGTAGTCCAGGTTAGCCTCAAACCTTCGATTCCCCTCAATGTCCAATCACTGAGATTACATGTATGTACTACACCATGCCTGTTTTAGAAAGTATGCCTTACACTAATTTTTTTCAATAAAGAATTTTCTGTGTCTTTGAGAAGGCTCTTGAAGCCCATTGAAGTTATTTTCTAAGACACATAAAATCCAAAAAAAAAAAAAAAAAGGTTATGTTACTGTTAGCATTAAGACCTTTAGGCACTCATTTTCCAAAGGAATCCTAGGTCCACTTTTTATGAGGCAGACAGTATTACAGGAGTAATTTTAAGAAAAGTAGATGAGCATGGAACACTGGTTTCTGACAGTCCCGGTATACAAACTTAGCCCCAACAACGATGCAATTCTAGCTGCATATCCCGTTGTTACTCTTGATTCCTGCTTCTAGGCTGGGACGACTTTCACAAAACAAGAGTTTCTATATTATCAGGTTGGAGCCATTAGTTCTCCACCCATAAGATACATGTTGAAGTGGGTATACTATAAAGTCCTTTCCAATATCCGGGACCTATAACTCTGTGATCACAAACTGCAGGAAAGGCAGTGGCCTGTCAGGGTGGTCCTTCCAGGCGCCTTCTTTTAACAGAATATTGGTCTAGAGAGGTGACTGAGCAGTTAAGGGTACTCGATGCTCTTGCAGGGGACTCGGGTTGGATTGCCAGTACCCTGTGGTGGTTCACAACCCTCTGTAAGTCAAGTTCCAGGGGATCCCTCCGCCCTGTGCTGAGCGCTTCAGGGGCCAGACAGGTATGTGGTATACATGCATTGCATGCATACATTTGCATAAATCACTCATATACATACAATAGAAGTAAATCTTTCTTTTTGAAAGCCTGCAAGGCTTCCTCAGATCACCACTCAGTAGATGTTCCGATAATAATCCAGTTCTGATAAGGTTTTCCCTAAAAGCCAACAACTGTGCCAAAGTAAAATAAAATTTAAATTTGGATCTGTAGCTTTACTGATAAATGCAGAACATTTGACACTTCGTGGAAAAATACAGTGCCAGGGTTTGAAAAGCATTCAAGTTCCTCTTCGGGTAAATGCATTTTGCGGAAGTAGCTGTGCTCGCCTGGTTCAGCTGGCTTTTGTTCTGTCCTGAGGCATTCATATAGCTCCTCTGTGGCACGCACTGAATTTCATTACCACCTTGGCTCGGTCTCAGAGTGAAGTTCTCTGACTTCCTTCCAAGTGCTGTTGAAAAGCTTCATTCACGACTGTTTTGAGGAACTTCAGAAACCCTTCACAGGAATCATAACAGGCCTGAGTACTGACCTCTTTCCTGCTTGCAGCTCGGCCTCTGGGCCCCCCCCCAAATCCCCTGCTTCTGTGGAGTGCCAGGGGACTGTGTCAGAGAATGCCACTAACCACACAGTGTCGAGAAAGTGTGCTGTGGAAACGGGCAGGTCTTAGACCCATCTAGACAGGTCTGAGACTGCGAGGCAGAAAGACAAATAAACAACAACAAAACTACCAATTCTCTACTCATTTAACAACAGGCTGGTGGCAAGGACTACTGTAACCATTCTCCAGTGTCCGTCACCAGGAGTCACAGCACCAATGGCTGTAGTTGGTACAGAGATGACTAATGGAGGTGGTTAGCAGCAGGTCATTAATCAACCCTTAGTGGCAGCCTGAGGTTCAAGTTTCAGGATTTGAAGCCAAGTAAGTTAGAAAAACAATGGACTTAGAGCCAGGAGACCTGCAGTCTGTCTTAGTTTTATCATTAATTAGTTTTACTCTGTCTTCGTTTTATCCTTAGTCTGTTTTATGAGCAAGGCTGTTGTGGAATATTATTTTAAGATGTGTTAATTCTATTTATGGGTTGGAACATTTGTTTAATGCTGCAAAGATGTGTTGCATTCTTTTATGTTGCATTTGTTTAACTCTGTGAAGCTGTGTTACTTTGCCTTCCTAAAACACCTGATTGACCTAATAAAGGCCAATAGCTAGGCAGGAGAAAGGATGGGTAGGGCTGTGAGACAGAGAGGATAAATAGAAGGAGAGAGGAAGGAGTGAAAGAAGGAGAAAGGGAGGAAGCAAAAAGTAGCTGGGATAACTTAAGGAAAGGGGTGAGCATGGGGACTCTGAGCATCCTAAGGTAAAAGAGTTACAGAAGGCTTACCTCCTACTCTGCTGGGGAGCATTTTTGAAGACTGAACAGAAGCAAGGATTTTCAACAACATCATTTGATTCAGATACCGTAAGTGGATGGCTTATTACTCTGTAAGTGCGGCAGTGATCCCAGAGGGAGAAGAAAAACAAACTCTTCCAAGACTCCATCCCTGAAAGTAGATGCACACAAGTAACTGACAAGAAGCAGAGTGTGGTGGCCGCCTTCCTGTGGTAGCCAAGCTTGGTTGCCAGCTCTTCGAGTCTAGAAAGAAGGTGTGCCAACGGAAATTGCCTCTGACAGGTTGGCCTGTGGGCACGTCTGTGGAGCATGTTCTTGGTAGCTAATTGATGTTCAAAGGCCCAGTCCACTGTGAGTGGTACCACATCCCTTGGCAGGTGGGCCTGAGATGCATATGTAACTTTTAGCTGGGCAAGCCAGGGGAAGCAGACCAGGAAGCATAATTTCTCCATGGTTTCTGCTTCAGCTTTTGCCTCTTCGTGTAACACTAATTTCAGGGGAACCTTAATGTCACCTTAAAAGACAGTGCTGTGATGTTAGGTCCTATCTTTTCTATTTTTATACCAGGGCATTTGGGACTTTCCAAGCAACAAGAGTTGATATTTGTGGGATGGATGATTCCCACTCATCCTTGTTCCTTATTTTTAACTTTTCTTTCTAGCAAGATAAACCTTACATTACTGAGGCTTGAGAACAAACCCATTTCCCAACTTGGGTTGATTGGGTGCAGCAATGTGACTGAGTTCTGGCCCATGAGACAGAGCACAGAGCTGTTAGGTGGCAGGCAGGGGTCTCCAGAAGAACAGACGGCTTAGGGAACCTGATCTCTCCTAAACCTTTCCCGTTTCCTACCTAGAGTTTGACATGGCTACAACTTCGGCATCTATTCATGTGTTTGTTAGACTGTATTAATTACATATAATAATGTATTACATTGAGGGATTTCCACACATGTATTGAATGCATTTTCACCCTGAGAACTCCCATTACCTTCTCTTGTCTCCTTCCCACCCCAGCTGATCACCTTCCCTTTCCCAAGTGGTCCCTCTTCCACTCTGTGTGCATGCATGTGTGTGTGTGTGCATGTGTGTGTGTGTGTGCATGTGTGTGTGTGCATGTGTGTGTGTGTGCATGTGTGTGTGTGTGTGTGGTATGTTTGTGTGTCCCAGTGAGTTGCTTCCAGGAACATGGATGAGAGATTAAACCACAAAGCAACTTGATCTAGGGTGAATCATTAATACAACAAATGACTCTCTCCTGTATGGCAGAACTGTTGCCCCATGCTTGGATGGACCACATCTGAATTTGTTACAGGTGACAAAATAGACCTCCATACATTTAAGTCTCTGTTATTTGGAATTTCCTGTTACTATGACTGACTCTAATCTTGACATGGTATGACCCAAATAAAGAGAAAAATTTTCCATAAGTCTTAGCTAAACCAAAGAATTTTATTACACAAATAAAATTTCCCCCCACTAGCATAATTCAGAAAAGGTTGGGTGAATTAATTGGATGTTTTCAATTGTTTTAAGTAATTTGGTTTCATTGAAACATGAAAACAAGTCTCAGATAGCCAAGTATTTCTTGTTTTCTTATTTTTGGTTGACCCTAAGCAGATCCATAAAAGATTCTGTTAGTTAAAAGAATGCCCCCAGTGTTTGGTGACTGGATAATAAGTTCTAGCTAATAAACAGTTTCCACAATAAGAAATAAAGGGCAAGAGAGAAGTAGAAAATTCAGGAAGGAGTTGTACTTGAACATGGGACTTCAAGTCCAAAAACAAAGCAAAGCCCATTGCGTTGTGGGTTGTGAGTGAGGGCAGCAGCTGAGCGGACACTTGTATTTGTGCCACACTCTCACTCTCTGTTCATCTGTTGAAGGCCGTCTAGGTCGTTCCATTCCCTGGCTGTAGAGAGATGACTTTTTCTTGTCTGCTGCTTTGGTTTTTTCCCCACCAGTTGGCTGGGCTCTGCCACGTTGTAGTCCCCAAGTAACACACAGACGCTGTATTAATTATGAAGCTGTTGGCCTTGCTTGTTTCTTACTGGCTATCTCTGACTTAAGTATTTACTCCATAACTGTTAATCTAAGTATTTCTCTTACCGGAGAAAAGTTTCCGGGCTTCTTACCCCTATGGCAGTTATATCTTGACTCCCTGTGTTTCTCCTACCCAGAATACTCCTGGACTCCTAGTCCCACCTATCTTCCTTCCCTATTGGCCAACAGTGCTTTATTGACATATACACAGGACTTCCCCCATCACCTGGCTATTGTGAATAGAGCAGCAATGAATGTTGCGGTCATGTGACAGATTTAGTTTTAAGTTTTTGTGGGATTCTCCATATTGATCTCCACAGAGGCTGCACCAGTTTGCATTTCCAAAACATAGAATGAAAATTCTTCTTTCTTCACAGCCTCGACAGCATTCGTTGTATGTCATTTTATTGATCTTATTCATTCTTCCTGGGGTGAGATGAAGTCTCACAGTTGTTTTAATTTACACTTCCCTAACTGCTAGGGATAATGAACACTTCTTGAGGTGTTTCTTAGCTTTTTATTTCTTCTATGGAGAACTGTTTAGATACATAAAATATTTTTCAATTGGGTTATTTGCTTCCTAGCCCACCCTTTTTGTTTTTAGTTCTTTGTATATTCTAGATATTAATCCTCTGTCAGGTGTATATCTGGCAAATACTGTCTCCCATTCCATGGGTTTCTTCTTCACCTGATTGGTTGTTCCCTTAGCTGTAAAGAAACTTTTTAGTTTTATGAGACCCCAGTTGTCACTTGTTGGCCTTCTTAATTCCTTGGCAAACAGAATCCTGCTCAGGAAGCCGTTCCTACACTTATGTAGAGACTGCATGTTTTCCTCTAGCAGTTTTAGCGTTTCAGGTTTCAAATCAAGGCCTTTGGTCCACTTGGATCTAATTTTTGCACAGCGTGAAGGTATGGGTCTAGTTTATGCTTCTGAGTGTGGGCATCCATTTCCTAAGCACTGTTGGTTGAAGATGTTGTCTTTTTGTTCAGCGTGTTTTTGAACTCTTTGAATATCTGATAGCTGTAATTAAGAGTACTCATGCCTGGGTCTTCTATTTAAATCTTTTGGTCTCCACTTCTCTGTCAGTCCTATATTGGTTTTATTACTTTAGCTCTCTAATAAATCTTGAAGTCAGGAATAGCAATCTCTTCAGCATTATTCTTTCTGCTCAAAATTGCTTTGGTTGTCTGGAGTATCTTCTGGACATCCAAACTACATACCCACACACAGACACATACACATAATTAATAAGATAAATATTTAAATCTTTTAAAACACTGTTACTAAAAAGCTGAGCATGGTGGTGCACACCCTTAATCCCCGTGTTCACTGGGCAGAGGCAAGTGATCCTCTGTGATTTCTAGGCTAGTCTCGTCTACATAGCAAGTTCCAAGCTACCTAGGGCTAAATTACAGTAAGATCCTGTCAAACAAAATGAAATAAACCAACAAATAAACAAGGTCACCTAGCAGGGCAGGAAAATTTTGTCAGATTAAAAAAAATGGGCTTGGTTGTTTAAACTAATCTTAGCTGGCTTGTGAGACAGCAAGGGACAGAAGACACATCATGACCTAAAGCTTGGGGGACAACAGCAAGTGTGTGTGCAAGGGGAAGCAGCTATTTCTAGATTGTAAAGTGTGATGCTGTGGGTGGGGCGAGCCCGGAATGGTGGCCTCATTTCCTCCAGAAATTTAGCATTAATTAAGATTGCTTAGCTTGCTTAAAGGTGAGAAGTGTCTCCTTTTATATTTTTTCCACTTTCTTCATTCAAGCCACATTTAACACCTTGATTGCAGTCAACAGCTGCAGGAAGGGACCAGGCTTTGCGGTCATGGACAGGCGGTGCTGTGCTGTGCCCCAGGGTCTCCGATCTGCAATGATCAACATTTGTGTTGAATTTTGACTTCCGCTCCTCCTTGCTAAGATTTTCACAGTTAAATTTATTCCAAAGCTGATGGTGTAGCTCTCAGTGTATTCTTCCAATGATTCCTGCCCTAGCCTTCCAGTTTCTCCTTACACTGACTGACATCCAGTAAGCAGGTGCTTTTGTCTATCTTGATTTGCTCTCTATCCGATGGGTGGAGCCAATGACAGCTGTCCTGCTAGTAGTCACCAATGCGACACGACTTTGCATTTAAAACTTTTGACTTTACCGAACTATTACATTCTCTGGCTCATTTTCCTATCTTTTTTTTTGTTTGTTTTGTTTTGTGACAAAACCAAAAAGGTCCCTGGAAGACATAAACCAGCAAGTCTGCAGACCAGCACGGAAGCAGGGACTTCATAAAGTAATTTCTGATCATCTGTTGGGTCTTTGTTTTTCCACTCAAAATATCTAGAAATCCTTCAAAAGCAAGCTCAAATATTGACACTTTTTGAAAAGTCTGATTTCCCAGGCAAAATGAGTCAGCTTGGCTCTTTATAGCTTTAAAACCAGTCTTTGAAAATGTACCAACTTTTCTTTAGGTTTGTCTGCATTTCTGTCTCCCCACTAGATGGCGATGTTCCCAAGGGCAGGGGTGATGACCTGTTTGCCTCTGAAATTCATTCACTTTACACATTAAAAGCAAAGCCAAACCAAACTACTAGGCACCAGGACATTATGACTAATCATATGACTGGTTCCCAGCACACACACACACAGACACACACACACACACACTGCTGGGGGTGGGGAGCAGTCAGATAGACAGAAAATACTCTTAATCTTGGTTGTGTTTGTAGCCTAGTTGGTGCAGTGCTTTCCTAGAATGTAGGAAACCCTGAGCTCAACTCCTGGAATCACATAAAGCCAGCATGGTTACAAGACACCTATCACCAGGAGGTGATGGCTCACGCCTTTAATCCCAGCACTCTGGGAGGTAGAGACAGGTGGATCTCTGAGTTTGAGGTCAGCCTAGTCTTCAAAACAAGTTCCAGGACAGCCAGAGCTGTTTCACCGGTTTGTCTGGAAAAACCAAAACAAAACAGAACACACCTGTCATCTTTGCACTCTGGAGTTGGAGTCAAGAGGATCAGAAGTTCAAGGCCACCTAGGCTACATACTGAGTTTGGGACAAATGAGGAACATAGTTTTTTTGTTTGTTTTTGTTTTGTTTTATAAAAGCAACCAACATCTTGTAAATTTCAGGCAAGAGTAACTGAAAAAGAAAATTCTAGGTGCTGGTGAGAGGATTCAGTGAGTAAAGATGCTTGCCCCCAAGCCCGATCACCTGAACTGAATCCCCAGGACCCACAAGGAGGAAGGAGCCAGAGGAATGTGGGGGAGGGAGAGAGGCTGGGTGAGAATGCCAAGGGACAAATTACATCCTTCAAAGTCACACCCCTGTCATGTCCTGTTTCCCATATTCAAGCCCCATTTTCCACTACCTCCAGGTGTTACCATCAGTCAGGGACCAAGCTTTCAACACAGGAACCTTTGGGGGCATTCTGGATGCAAACTGTAACTGGCTCTTTAAGGTCAGGAATTTAAGCTGAACTTACAGGGCTGTGTTTTTAGTGGTTGCTCTCTTAAGTGTCCCCAACACAGCGGTGTCCAGAGGCTGACCTTTGGGAGGTGATTGGGTCCTGAGGGCTCTGTGACACCATGAACAGATTAATCCACTAATGCTGCTGGGAGTGGCAGAAACAATGGGAGGCGTGGCCTAGTTAGAGGAAGTGGGTCTTTGAAGTGTGGCCTCAAATATGTTTTGTCTTCAGTCCCTTTCCAGGAGCCATGATGCCTGGCTTTATGTGTTTTCTTAGTACATAGCTTTCACCCTTGTCTTCAGTAACCTTTACCTGCTCCCGACTTTCATTTTATTGTAAAATTGACCCTGTCCTGGACAGGATTTAGTTCCTGATCCCCTCACTAAGCTTTGGTCTCAGCACAAACAGCTGTGAATGACTTAGCTACCTGCTATTTAAAGGGAAAAATCCAACCTTTGCATTCAAAGAATCAGTGCTCGGGTAACCCTGTGTGTAATAGCTGCTAATGTTTAGAGTTACACAAAATGAACATGACTTTTACGTGCAGAGATGAACCATCCATACCCCAGTTTTTGGAATCAGAGCAATCTTAATGTTTCATGCTAGTAACTAACTGGACCACGACATGGCGGCTGCTGCCACTCTTCAGCATTGTTTTACTCTCCTTCTGTTCCACTCCATCATTGCACACTAATCATGCACTCTCTGTTTACCTGACACTACACAGTATGTGGGCTTAGTAGAGCCCAGGCATTCTAGCTATGCCAGATTCTCTGAAATAAACTTTTTCCCTTTGGAGGTTATAATAGTAAGCTCCATAAACTGGCAAAATCTATTTTAGGATTTATTTTTTCAAAGAAATTAAATTTCAAAAGTGCTGAGATGTTAAGTAATGAATAAAATAAAGGAATTAATAATTCACTAGTATATTAATAAATATTTCAGGACTAATGGAGCCCTGGTAAATGCACATTAATATCTTAGTAAGTGAAATTCTTTGAATGTTTCCTATATTTCAATTTAGTGTGTTTAGTATTGAACATGGATGTATAGATAAGAGGTTTATCAAAAGTCACTAATAAATATGAAAAGGGAACTTTGAGAAGTTTTAATAAATGAACGTATTCATAGTGTAAGACATTTAAAGGTAAAGATAGCCATTAATCACTTCCTAACTGTGAGTTCATTTTACTAATTACGATTATTCTCCCTTGAAATTTGTTAAGAAGTATTTAGACACTCATTAAGACAGTCATGGCTGTTTCCATGAAGTTGTAGTTTCTCATTATGTACCCCTGAAATGTCTTCAAATGAATACTTTTAACTCATAATTTCATTTTAGTATTAGCCATGACTTTGGGGATTATGTATGTATGTGTGTGTGTGTGTGTGTGTACACTCTCTTGTACACCCTATTTTGGTCTTAGGAGTCTTTTAGCCATTTATTCAGTGTGTGTTTGTGTGTGTGTGTGTGTGTGTGTGTGTGTGTGTGTGTGTGTGTGTGTGTGTGTGTGAGTGAGCCGATAATGCTGTAAAGGTCAATGGCACTCAGGCCAGTTGTGAGGACCAAAACAATCTCTAAACATGACTAAATGTCCTCCAGAGCAGAAGGTCACCTCCTAAGGGCCACCAGCTCTATAGTAATGTTTTCTACAAGGATCTTGATCTTAAAAGACCTAAAATAGAAAAATCCTAAGAACCCACAATTCATTCATTAATTTACTTACTCATTGATTAATTGTCTTACTTATTCATTTAAATTCTGTTGGAACATGAATCACAGCTCATTCATTCATTAGCCACACCTTCAAAATGCTCTTTGGGCAAGGTATCATGGTGCACACCTTTAATCCAGCCCTTGGGAGACAGAGGCAGGTGGATCTCTGTGAGTTCAAGGCCACCCTGATCTACATAGTGAGTTCTAGGCATCCAGGGCTACATCGAGAGACCTAGTCTCAACCTAACAAGACAAAGCTCTTTGGCTTCTAGAATCTCATAAGCTCACCCACCTCTACACACACACACACACACACACACACACACACACACACACAGAAACACCCACACAGGCACACATGGAATACATAAATAAATAAATACATTTTGTTCTGCTATTTTCTTTCTTGCTTTATTTTGTCTTTGTCTACTTCACAGAAGCTAGTTATCTGGGAAGAGGAAGCACGGTTAAGAAAATGCCTCCGTCCACATTGTCTGTAGGCAATGTGTGGTGTGTTTTCTTGGTTAACCGGTGACGTGGCTGGGCAGGTGGTCCTGAGTTGCATAAGAAAGCAGATGGTGCAAGCCTTGCAGAGAAGCCAGTGAGTAGCATTGCTCCATGGTCTCCGCTTAAGTTTTGCCTCTGGGTTCCTGCCTTGAGTTCCTGCCCTGACTTCCCTCAGTGATGGACAGTTATATGGAAGCTTAAGACGAAATAAACCCTTTCCTCCTCAAATTGTTTTTGGTCATGGTGTTTTATCACAGCAATAGAAACCTAAGACAATCTTTAAAAAAATGTGCAATGAAGTTTGCATTCTGATTAAAATTGAAAGTCTAACTTTTGATATGGCCCCAAACATATTTTCATCCTATACTATGTATTTATGAAAACTGGCATTATTGATTATAAAACCAAATGCAGCCAACAGTGAAGAATGTTGAAGATGTAGTCTGGGAAGAGAGCTTAGCTGGCAAAGCGCTTACTGTGCATGCAGAAGGGTCTGAGGCAATACTCAGAACTCGTGCTAAAAAGTTGGGCATGGAGCCGGGCGGTCGTGGCGCAAGCCTTTAATCCCAGCACTCAGGAGGCAGAGGCAGGTGGATCTCTGAGTTCAAGACCAGCCTAGTCTACAGAGAGAGTTCCAGGACAGTCAGGGCTAAGTAGAGAAACCCTATCTCTAAAAAACAATAATAATTTAATAATAATAATAATAATAACAAATACATGCTACCATGCCCTACTTTTTCTGCAGAGATTGGCAGATCCCTAGGATGCTTGGCCAACCAGCCTAGCTACCTGGTGAGTTTTATGCTAGTGAGAGACCCTATGTGGTGGTTTAATGAGAAATGTCTCCCTAGTCTCAGGCGTTTGAACACTTGGTCCTCAGATGGCGGTGGTGTTGGGAAGGCACTGGGGAAATGCAGTATTGCTGGAGGAAGCATGCCACCTGGGGGAGGGCTTTGAGAGTCCATAGTCCTGTTCTACTTCGGGCGAAAATAAACAAACGCATTCATCTCATTAGTATGCAAATTTGCCTTAATCTTTAATAAATGCTAAAATTACATGCCTATGAAACAGTTGTTTCAAAGTAAAAAAATTTTTTGGTGTTTTTGAAACAGGGTTTCTCTGTGTAGCTTTGGAGACAGTCCTGGAACTCGCTCTGTACACCGGGCTGGCCTCGAACAAGAGATCCACCTGCCTCTGCTTCCCAGAGGGATTAAAGGCGTGTGTCACTGCCGCCCGGCACAAAGTAAATTTTTAAATTTTTTTGTTTTGTTTTTCAAGACAGGGGTTCTCTGTGGCTTTGGAGGCTGTCCTGGAACTCGCTCGGTAGACCAGGCTGGCCTCGAACTCAGAGATCCACCTGTCTCTGCCTCCCTAGTGCACACACATGTGTACACACGCATACAACCTACAGAACCCACTTACTGTTGCTATTTTGCATGCGTTTGGGGCTGACCACTTGGGATTGCATAACCTCAGGAGGTTCAGACGTAGAGAAAATTTTTCCTCTTTAACACCCATTGACTTGACTACCTGTAGCTGTTTATCAGGGATAGGTGTTTATGAGGTTTCCCCAGTGTTATTGGCATTTTGACTGGCGTTGTCATTATGCAGGTCTTGTTTAAGTGACCATCTTATCAAGGTTCATGGGAGCAGCATCCTGGTCATGTCTAGAAGACACCGTTTCACAACAGACATTTTGGCTGCCTGTCTTTACAATCTTTTTATCTCCTCTTCCACAGTCTTCACTGAGCCTTAGGAGTTGGGGTAGTACTGTTCACAAACTGATTGGGGCTGGGAACCCCACAATCACTGCTTCTCTCTGCCTTTTGACCAGGAGCTCCAGATAAATTTCTTTGTGAGTTATTATCAGCAGATGTTTGATATGTATGCCCCTTTTATGCATCCGCAGGGCAGGATCACACATACTTTTTTTAGACGAAAGGGGGTTGCAAGGACTAAAAGTTTAATAAGCTCTGGTCTGGACACAGGCTGTCTTATTCACGACAGCACACGCTGTCAACTGTCTCTTCAGAAAGGGTTCACTCCCTAAGGTGCGGTGGCTACTAAGTCATACTTTGTTATATTCTGCACACATCCATCAACATCATAACTAGGCTCGATTTGCAGCCACAGCCTTCTAGGGCTACAGCTATGATAGGCTCCAAGTCCTCTCCTTTGTCCTCCATAGACCATTGTCTTACTCCTCTGTGCATGCCCAGATCATGGCCTACGTTAACAGTTTACATAATGCCTTTTAAAAACTTAAAATGGTTATCATAATAGGCATATCCTTTGCTCTGTTTCTGACCTAGTCCAGTACTGAGCTGGTTCCCCCTAGCATTCAGAGAACTCAGCTGTCAAGTTCCTCCATATTGAAACATTCCCTGCTGGCGGGAGGGAGAATCCATGAGACTCAGGAAGTAAGCTAACCTTACAAATCCTGGAGGCTGAAGAGTACAAGGTTCCCAAGGCCCTCCCCAAGGTGATAGAGGCAATAAGAAATCACTGAGGAGGAGAGGCACACTTGCCTGGAGGAGGGTGCCAAGCGTCCAGCCATTGGCAGGTTGGCAGAGAGCTCCAGGGATACAGCCGTCATGTGTTGTCACTGGCTGGTTGGTCGTTTTAGAGAAGCAGCTGTTAAGCAGCCATTCACCAAAACTTGCACAAGTAATCCCAGGAAAGTCACTATGTATCAAGTTTGCCTTTGCCAGAATCAGTTTTGGATTGTCATTGTTTCCCTATCTAGGGTGAAGGGACACTTGTGTTGTGTCTCCCCAGGAAAGCTCCACACATCAGTTTAAGGATCACTTCCTTAAGCAGTTTCCTTGATACTACCAAGGTGTCCTTTCACGGTTACCACGGTAATTCGGTGTTGGGGCCCAGCCCCCACAGGATCTCTGTGAGTGGCTTGCCAGCCAATAACCACAGGTGCATTCTGTTTTCTAGTCCTGGCTTCCAGCACCGGCCTTGTCCCACTGGCATCAGCCTACATGAACTCTGACACCTGGGGTTTCTTCACTGTGCGGTAAGTCTGTATATAAGGCTGCTCCCTCCTTGCAATAAAAAGACCACACACATAGACACACACACATTCTCTTAGCACAAACGGCGGGACATCTTGTCTTTCATTTAAATTTCCAGGCTTTTGCTCGATACATTAGACTTGCTTGTAACAGAGAGCACCTTAGCTCTTTACTTTATGGCAATGTTCATTTCTTAATTTATAAATTATATATGATCTGAAATAGTCAACAAGGCCCAAGAGATCAGTACATGTGCAATAAACGTTTTGAGAATAAGAGAATTTTGATTAATAACATTTCTGAGACTGATCTTTCCAATCCTCTAATCTGCTGGCTACACAGTTAGTCACATCGTGGCCAGTGGCTGATATATTTTTGTTCCTGAATACAACTCTTCCAAAGGGTTGCCATCACTGGGTATTTCTGTCACCTACTATATGGACACGGTTTCTTGGTGAATAGAGGTTAGGGTGTTTGCTGCTTGTGCATGCACTAGAGTATTCTCTCTCTCTCTCTCTCTCTCTCTCTCTCTCTCTCTCTCTCTCTCTCTCTCTCTCTCTCTCTCTCTCTCTCTCTCTCTCTCTCCTTCTCCAGGGACTTTGGTTGATAAAACAGCGGCTTCTTCCATGCTGCCTCTACTGCCCAGAACTGTCTTTTACAGTAAGAGTGTGTCAGGTTAGGTTCTCTAGAGAGTTTTCTCTCCAGGTAGGAACTCAGCTACTCAGAGTTATTTTCCTAATATAGTTGAACCACTAGAGGGGAGCAGTGACATTCCCCGTTGCGCCTTGATCTTAGGATAGTAGGGTCAGATGGGCTTTAGGGACCCTGGGCAAACTTCTCCCATCTGATAAACTAAGGAACAGAGTGGAAGCAGGAAAGGAAAGCTTTTCCTATGGCTACAGAGTAGTCAGTTACAAAACCAAGACACACAATTGGATGGTAGCTCAGCCACCTGCCTTAGAGAAGCAGAGGGGAGGCTTAATTGTGAAAAACAAGTGAATGACATTTAAATAAAAATAAAAACAGGAAGGAGACAGACTCCAGCAAGCACAAATAAATGTCTCTAAAGAAACTGGCCAGAGAGAGAGCATTGGCTCTTGCCCCCCACACCCCTGGGATTCCACATGTAGCACACTCATCCAGCCTCCGCGTCTCGGAGGGGGTCCAACAGGTTATATGGATACGGCTCACATGTCACAAAGCCAATTAACTCATCCCAAAGTCCCTGGCTGCCAATGTTTATATCTAAGTGTATTTAATGGTTTATACATGAGCACGTGTCGGTGGAGAGAGGAGAGGTATGTGGTAATGGAGGTTTTGCTGAGCCTCTCAACTCTTCTGGAAAACAAGATGTAGCAGCCTGTGATGGCCATTGCCTTTTTTCATTGGTGTTAACTTCCTGTCACCCCTTTGCCAGTATCTACCCCCTCCCTACCACTCACCAGCATGGGCCGGTGGTAATGCTGGCTAACCATAGCTCCCCCATTCCTCCCTGACAGAGCCATGGTTTAGGGGAGGGTGTGAACTTCAGGTGGGCCAATGATCGGCCTCTTTAGAGTCTTTGAACTCCTAATCCTCCTGCTTCCATCTCCCAAGTGCTAAGATTACAGGTGTGTGCCAGCATGCTCAGCTGAGAAGTCTTGCTTAAAGGGTATACAAGAGAGCTCTGAAGAGACCCAGAGAGATGATCCAGGCAGAGGACAGACCCCACGCTCCATTCCGTCTACCCTGGAGCCTGGAGTACCTCCCGAATTCTCCTCGTTGCCCTGAGTTATGCCGCCTAATAACAAGTCCCCTTTTTTTCCTTCAGATATAATTTGACCTGGATGTTTGTCAGTCACAATGAAGAATTCTGTCATAATTCTATAGACTGTTGTGGGAACACCAGACCTTGAGCAGAGACCCACTTCCCCTTCTGCCTGGGAGTAGGCAGCTGTAAGACAATGTTTACTAAAAACAATACAATGCCTGGGGGCATTAAGTTCCTGGAAAAGGCCTGCCCGCAGAAACCACCCTGAGCTCGACCTTGTCCAAAGACTAACCGCCTCTTCTGCCACGCCCAGATCAGTTTCTGGGGTCAGAGCAGAACCAGCCAGGGTAGAGGAGAGAGCAGAAGCTTCTCTGGTGGGAGCCTTTTTTAGGAAGTTTTCTTGAACCTTTTTGGGGCCTGCTTAAAGTTTTCTTTACATCATTGAACAAGTCTCTGTGTTGTCAATCCCCGACACCCTCCGCACGTGTTCTCGGACACAGGCCGCGCAGCAGACGCGACAATTGGAGGTCCCACCGAGATCGTGAGAGCGAGGTAAGTGGACGGGGTCGTCCCTTTTGCCAGCCAGGGACAGATGGAGGAAAATAGGAAAAGAAACAATGGGAAATAGTCCCTGGAAGTTTAAATTACAGTATCACATAAAAAAGTTGCCTGAAGAACAGGGGACTACCACCATGGCAGGCTTTTTAAAATGGATTGAACGAGGGAGCCCATGGTTCATTACTGGGGAAGGCTTAAATGTCGCAGATTGGGAGGATGTTTGCTATGATATTCAGAGAGCCGGGTGTTGGTGGCATACGCCTTTAATCCCAACACTCGGGAGGCAGAGATAGGAAGGAATGAGGCCATCCTGGTCTATAGAGCAAGTTCCAGGACAGCCTCCAAAAGGATAGAGAGAAACCCAGTCTGAAAAAAGAAAAAAAAAAAAAGAAAAGAAAAAGAAAAAGAAAAAAAAAGAAATGAAAAAAAAGGGTAAAATAAGAAATAAAATAAAAAATCTCCAGTCTTTCGCCTGATCCACTGAGGTCAGGAAAGTAAAGGGGAACTGAGAGATCTAAAAGGCTAGCCAGTAAGGCTATGTGGATGTGTTAAAAAGGGGTACCGGATGAAATCTCCAGGCCTTCGCCTGACAAAGGTCAGGAAAGTAAGGGGACCCTGAGAGATTGCCCTCAGTTGGGGGGTAGATTTGATTAAATCTCCAGGCCTTCGCCTGACAAAGGTCAGGAAAGTAAGGGGACCCTGAGAGATTGCCCTCAGTTGGAGGGGGTATTGGATTAAATCTCTAGGCCTTAGCCTGACACTAAGGTTGGGAAAAAGGGGAACCCAGAGATTGCCCTCAATTGGAGGGTGGATTGTGTAAATCTTAAGGCTTTTTGCATGAGGAAACATCCTGGGTTGAAAGTTGGATTGAAAATGGGTGAATAGCCGGGCGTTGGCAGCACACGCCTTTAATCCCAGTACTCGGGAGACACAGGCAGGCAGATCTCTTGAGTTCAAGGCCAGCCTGGTTTATAGAGGAAGTTCCAAGACAGCCTCCAAATAATACAGAAAAAAAAATTGGTAACAAGCTGGGCGGTGGTGGCACACGCCTTTAATCCCAGCACTTGGGGAGGCAGAGGCAGGCGTATCTCTGTGAGTTCGAGGCCAGGCTGGGCTGACAGCCTCAAACAATACAGAGAAACCCTGATTTTAAAAAAAATGGGTGAAACAAAAAATTTGTAACAGTAAAAAGGTACTGGTATTAAGTAAAGAAAAAGAAAAGACAAAGGTATATACAATGGAAAAATTTTGTTTACATTTAAGTTCTATTTTGTGAGTCATCTCTAAAAACTTTTGGCCAAAAGCATGGCCTCTCCACCTCACATCTACAGAGTTACAAGGAGTAGGTACAGCTGTACCCCATGACTGTAGCTCAAATGGAGGAATGATAAAGAACATACAGGACTTTTTAACCCTTTTAGTTCAAGGATTGGCTGGAGTTGTTCTTTTACATAGATTTCAATTAAGGAAGCTTCATTGCAACAGACTAATCATGACCTAGGGAAAAAGGATGACTGAAAGATGCATGTATGTTCTGAATGTATGGTGTGGCCACACCGGTATGTATGAAATGTGATTGTGAATGCATGAGTGTGAACTGCTTATATGATTAAAAGGATACTTAAATCCCTTCAAAAATAGTTAAGAAGCTACCTAGATTGCTTTAAATATAGACAAAAGGAACATCCAGCCAGTCTGTTAATGTTTTTACAGAAAAATTTAAGATGCAAATGAGGCCTTGTCAGCTAGTGAGAGCTCTACAGGTTAGATTGGGAAAGACTGCTCACAGACTTCAAATAATTTTCAAAAGTTATTTGGACACAGTATAGTTTACAATCTTTGAGTGATTTTCAGAAGTTTTTGGGAAATATTTAATGGATATGTCCTTTTTAATGGGCATCTACAAAAAATCTAAGTAGTAACCCCAATTTACCTAGGTAGTCAACCAAGGAGGGTAGACAAATCCTTCTACTATTATGGTCCAGCTTCAACAGTTCAAAAAAATTTTTTAGAAAATAAAAAAGGGGGAATAATGTCCCCAGTCCCCACATGACTCATCAAATAATACACTCCTCATTCAAAAATTTTATAATGTGAATGCCAGTGAGCTTCAGACAGATTCTGGCATGATGGAACTTGAGCAACCATTGCTCAGGTCAAATGGAGACATCCATGCACTAAACAGTGGAGAAGACCCTAATTTGGGGTCGAGGGCATGTTTGTGTTTTCTTGTAGGAAAAGAATAAAAGCTTCGGCATGGAGCAGAGAAAAACTGGACCTGAGACCATGGGAGCCTACCTAAGCCAGTTTGAGTGAGATCTCCTAAATCAGTGTTCCTGACCCTTGCTGTCCTCGTATCTAGAGCCCAAGAAAGAAAGAAAACAGTCGGTTCGAGATTTCCAGTTTCTCAACAGACCTGCTGCATCAACCTTCCGGACCCATGAGTTTTCATCGTGAAGCCAACAGAGAAAAAAGGACCCATTTAAAGCATTTGGACATTGGTATGGACTATGATGAGTGGCAAAAGCCTCTTTTCAGTATTTGAACAGTACATGGTCACTTGAAATATCAGACTTGATGGTTCCTGTTTCTGGAATCACGACTAGGCCAGTGTATTTTTCTAGAGAGGTGCAACTTGTCCTAATGCGACAAAAAGGAGACTTTGACTCAAGTCGCATAATCAGCTGACGTTGAATCAACAAACTGCATCACCACAGGAACAAATTGGTGCTCTGTGGATAGTGCAACAAGCCTATTGTTCATATTTTTCATAATGCTACATGTGTAACATCAATGATTGTACCTAATGTATCTGTGCAAGTGCACTTTCTAAATGCTTTCCTGAGCAGATCTTGGAACAATTGTAACTTTATCAAATTGTAAATCTAAGTCACATGCGGGTTACCCTTGTAACAGAATGTAAATCACGTACATGTTACCCTTGTAACAGATGAAGGCTGGTAGAATGTTATGGCCCAGATCTGGTGATGGGTATGGTGATGGAGAGGCGCTATGTCAATGGGGGTCCTGGGAATGGTGGCAGTGGCGGTAGGCATTCTGGCTTTATGCCGAGGCTCAAACGTGCCTTGTTCCAGAGGCAAGAGATCCGTAACCAAGTATTGCTTAGCCTAGCCCATGGCAATCCCGATAGCCATGAAGGTTGGTTACAGATGATTTAAAGTTGGGGTGCTCTGATGACGGGCCACCTGTGGGGAAGACCCCTCCCGCCTAAGACAGGGGTTCAAGGTCCCCCAAGGACGGGAAAGGGAGGGTGACCCTACTTGACCTAAGCCAGGAGTGCCTCATTTAAAAATAAAAAGGGGTGAATTGTGGGAACACCAGACCTTGAGCAGAGACCCACTTCCCCTTCTGCCTGGGAGTAGGCAGCTGTAAGACAATGTTTACTAAAAACAATACAATGCCTGGGGGCATTAAGTTCCTGGAAAAGGCCTGCCCGCAGAAACCACCCTGAGCTCGACCTTGTCCAGAGACTAACCGCCTCTTCTGCCACGCCCAGATCAGTTTCTGGGGTCAGAGCAGAACCAGCCAGGGTAGAGGAGAGAGCAGAAGCTTCTCTGGTGGGAGCCTTTTTTAGGAAGTTTTCTTGAACCTTTTTGGGGCCTGCTTAAAGTTTTCTTTACATCATTGAACAAGTCTCTGTGTTGTCAATCCCCGACACCCTCCGCACGTGTTCTCGGACACAGGCCGCGCAGCAGACGCGACAGACTGTTAGAATTTACCAGAAATACCTCTGAAATTGAGTGGAAAGGCTATCCACACTGGGAATGGGACATCATCTTTGTGGTAGTTTGAATGTGACTGGCCCCCATAATCTCATAGGGAGTGGCACCATTAGGAGGTGTGGCTTTGTTGGAGTGGGTTTGGCCTTGTTTGAGGAATTGTGTCACTGTGAGGATGGTCTTTGAGGCTTTCCTATGCTCAGGATACTGCCCAGTGTCTCAACCAGCTTCCTGTGGCCTGTAAGATATAGAGTTTTCAGCTACTACTCCAGCACCATGTCTGCCTGCACGCTGGCTATGCTCCCTGCCATGATGACAATGGACTGAACCTCTGGAACTGTAAGTGAGCCTCAGTTGAATGTTTTCACTTATAAGAGTTGCCATGATCATGCCATGATCTCTTCACAGCAATAGAAACCCTAAGACAAACTCCCTTCCCACTATAACCTTTAGGGTAAAGACAAGACACAGTCCTTCAAGAATAGTGGTTGAAGATGCAGACTGATGAGCTGTCTGCATTTCCTGTCTATTGTCTATCTCTACTCAGCCAGGAAAGACATGCTACCCGTGAGGCCAAGGGCACGGACACGTGACCCAGTTACTTCTGCTCTCTGTCTGTAACACAAACTTTACTCTAAAACTGCAAGCTGTTTTGCAGCTCACCATTGAAGTCCCAGCTCTGAGCTCTTACAGACAGCACTCAGTGAGCCATCTTACATCTCTGGACCTCTACTTATCAGCTTAAAGCCGTGATACTTGAACAACCTGACCCTAAGATAGTTTCCGGCCTTAAGATTATATTATCATCAAAGAACGATTCAATATATATTTTTGAGAGCCACGTGTTGGTCTAACTGATCCCGTAAACTCCACCCCCAAATCATGTATAACTTACAGCCAGATGCAGTATCATCCAAATAGAAATCTCTGCTTCTGGCAGGGAAGT